TTGTTTTTTTCGATCTCCGCTATGTTTTTTTAGTGGTTTTTTAGTTTTTTAGGTGATTTTAATTTTGTAGATTTAATTTTTTGAAAGTTGAGTTTTGTATTTTTTTTTTATTTTTAGGGAGTATTTTTAAAATTTTAAGTAATTTTTTTTATTTTTATTTTTTAGATACACCTAAATTAAATGTATCTAAAAAATAAAATATTTGTAAAAAAATAGTTTACAAAATCAATAAATACACATGAATACGAAAATATATTGAATTTTTATATTTTTTTTTTATGTTTTGGGTATTTAGTAAATTTTTTAAATATTTTTTCACAAATATTATAGTTTTTAATTGTATTTATGTTAAGTGTATCTAAAAATTAAAAAAATACTTCAAATATTAAAAAAATTTAGTAAAAATAAAAAATATATACAAAAAAAAAATTCTAATTTTCTAAAAAGTGAATCCAAAAAATTAAAACTAAATAAGGTGAATATGTTTATGATGACTTTTTAATTTTTTATAAAAAAAATATGTAAAAAATAAAATGAATAGAAAGGAATCTTTTAACTTTTGAATATTTGTTGATTTTTTAGTAATTGTTTGACTTTTAGATATGAACTTGCCAAACAAGGCCTAAATTCTACAAATAATCAATTAAATAAGATAAATTACACTTTGACCATTTTATGTTTGGTTATTTTGCACTTTAACTAAAATTTGTTTTTCTCACTTTAACTTTTCCTACTTTAAGTTTTTCTTAATTTATTTTTAGGCCTCGTTTGTTTAGTGGATCAGGTTTGATGGGATAAAACACTCGTTTGGGAAGTTGGGTTGTGTTGAGTTGGGGCTAAAATAGACACAAAAAGATAAAATAGGCTTTTTAGCTCCAGGCTAAAAAATATTACATCCAAACCATAATTATTTCATTTTTTCTCTCATAAAAGTTAAAAAAGTAAAAAAGTATACCATGCTAAAATAGCCAAAAAACTAAAAAGTCAACCCACATCCCAAACGAATCCTAAGAGTATGGTGAGATTGAGTGATGAGATTATTAATGTGGTGGTATTAGGTTGGAGATGTAAGATAAAATATATTTGTTTGTGCACTGGTATGGTGATATTAATTACTTAAGATTAAATCTACAAATTACGTAAAAGCCCTTGTCACATGGAAGATATTTTGTTGATTTTGTAAAATGATGGGCAAGATGGTCTTTTTGCCATCAATCCATGGGAGTGGACTAATAATCTCACCCCTCCCATAGGAATGTTAATCCCACCATGAGAGGGGATTGATACTTCCATACCACTTCTCTACAAATAAACATGCTTGAGCCTTATGGGTTACTAAACCAATCCCGTCTTCCAAACCTCTAATCAAACATGACCTTAAAGTTAACTTCTCTGCAGAGTAGACAAAAAAAATATCGCATTAACTATCACATAATTTTTTTAAAAAAAACTGTCACATAATATAAAAAAATATACTGTTATATTAAAGATTCAGTTTGTGTTAGAGATGTAAGTTATATATAATATTTTTTTGTTACGTGACTGTTAACGTGTTATTTCTATATAATTTTAGACATAAGTTAATTTTTGAAATAAATTTTAAAAAATGAAACATGCAAAAATCAAAATGAGAAAAAATAAAATTTAAGAGATAAAGGCCTTGTTTGGGAACATGTTATTTTAGTAACTTTTTGACTAAAATATGAGATAAAAAAATTGGTATGTTTGGAATATTTTTTTTAATTTTTTACGAAATGATGTGCAGAAAGTAGAAAAAAATGATTTTTTTGACTTTTTGGTATATGTTATAGGTTTTTTTAGTAATTTTTTTGACTAAAATACTTGCATGCCAAACGAGACCAAAGTAAGATAATAATCACACCCAAAAAAAAAGAAAAGTAAAGTGTAATTTATGCATTAAATAATAATAAATTGGGGCGACTCTAAATGCACTCCAAAATTAAGTTGGTCATTACTTTCAACTAGGTATAGGGTTTTCCGAACCGCACAATCCACCCAACCCAAACCGATCCGCATATAAATAGGCAGTTTCGTAGATACAATGAGGGCGGATGCAGTTTGGAATATGACATGATTGTGGTTGTGGATTTAACCTACACCCGCCCGCACTTAGATTTTTTTTTTTTTTTTAAAACTTGGACTGTTGTTATTTTATTATTGCATTTTGGATGAATGTAAAAGTTAATGAAGAATTTCTTTTGAGTAAGCATAGGATTTTGAATGATTTTACTTTAATTGTATTGTTAGGTAGTAGATAGTGAATGAGATTGATGATCTAGTTTAGGATTTTGAAAAATGTGTTTGTGTTTGTGTTAGTTTATGATTTGATTTAAAAGTTTGGGATTTTGAATAATTTGTTTGTGCTAAGAATTGATTTTGCTGTGTTTTTAATTCTATAAGTTTTAATTCATTAATTGTTAATATTGGAGCATTTTAGAAAATGGGAGGAAAAGGACCCAAAATAAATATTTACAAAATGGGAAAAAAAAGGCTCCAAAATAAATTTTTAAAGAAAAAAGTCCAATTCGCAAACCGCTCGCAATTGCCTGCATATTTGCGAACCCTATCTACACAAACCGCAACCCGCATTGCGGGCGGTTGCAAATTGAAATTTCTCCAAACCGCACACATGCAGGCGGGTCTAAACCAATCCACAAATAGTTCAAAACCCACTATAAGAAAAGTGAGTTTAAAAGACGGAACTTTTTGTGATGGCACATTTGCCATCGCAAAAAGTCATTTTTTGCGATGGCACACCTTGTCGTAGCAAAAAAAGTGACTTTTTGAGACGGCACAATTTACCGTCGCGAAAAATGTGCCTTTTTGAGACGGCACAGCTTGCTGTCGCAAAAAAACATGACTTTTTGAGATGGAACAACTTGCCATTGCGAAAAATGTGCCTTTTTGAGACGGCACAGCTTGTCGTCGCGAAAAAAGTGACTTTTTGCGACGGCACAACTTGCTGTCGTAAAAAATAGAGTATTTGTGACGGCAGAAATTGTTGTCGCAAAAAAAAAAAAAGAGTATTTGCGACAACAGAGACTGCTATCGCAAAAAAAAAATAGATTTTTTGCAACGGCACCAGCTGCAATCGCAAAAAAAAGAAAAAAAAAGGAGTTTTTTGCGACTGTAATAGGTACCGTTACAAAAAATAAAATAAAATAATAATAATAATAAAAAAAATATATATATATATATATTGTGGCTTTGAGATGGCTTCATATATATAGTCACAAAATGGTTTAAATAAATGCAATGGTATTTTTCTGTCACCAAAAAAAAAAATAAAAAAAAAAAATAAAAAAAACGACGTCGTCTTACTCTTTTGATATAACATTTCTCTTTTCATCCATTTTTTTATCTTCCTGTCTCTTTGTCTCTATCTTTGTATCTCTTCTCTTTCTCTCTCTCACTCATTACTCTTCTCTGTCTGTCTGTCTGTCTGTCTGTTTGTCTCTCTCTTTCTCTCTGTGTCTCTGTCTCTCTTCTCTTTCTCTCTCTTACTCATCAGTCTTCTCTGTCTGTCTGTGTTCTCTTTGTGTCTCTGTCTCTCTTCTCTTTCTCTCTCTCACTTATCACTCTTCTCTGTCTGTGTGTCTCTCTCTTTCTCTTTCTCTTTCTCTATGTGTCTCTCGCCCATCTCTCTTCTCTCTATCTCTCATCTTTCTTCTCTCTCTGTCTCTCTATTCTCTCTTCCATCACTCACTCTCTCGTTCATCTCTCTCTGTCCCTCTCTCATTTATCTCTTTTCGATCTCTCTCTCTCTCTCTCTCTCTCTCTCTCGCTCATCTTTTGTTTCTCTCTTTTTTTTGTCTCTCTCTCTCTCTCATTCATCTCTCTTCTCTTTCTATCTCTTTTTTTTCTATATCTCTCTCTCGTTAATCTCTTTTCGCTTTCTTTCTCTCTCTTTTTGTTTATCTCTTGCTCATCTCTGGTTTCTCTCTCTTTTTCTGTCTCTTTCTTTTTCTGTCTCTCTCTCTATCTCTTTCTCTCTTTGTCTTCTTTATCTCTTTCTGTCTCTATCTCTGTCTCTCTCACTCATCACTCTTCTCTTTCTCTGTCTACTTGTCTGTTTGTCTTTTTCTCCCTCACTGTTTCTCCTTGCTCACCCTCTCCCTCATCTCTTCTCTATTTATTGAGCTCTTTCTCAATTTATCGATCCACTACAAGAAAATGCACTTTTAGCGACCACTTTGTCTCTTTCTCGCTCATCACTTTGTCTCTCTCTCTCTGTCTTGCTATCTCTCTTCTCTATCTGTCTCTCACTCATCTCTCTCTCTCTCACCACCCATCTCCTCTACCACATGTACCACTACTGCAAATGCCATTCCACTACCACCACTACTACCACTGTTGCCACTCCACCTCTACGATTACCATTACTACCACCATTGCCACCACTACTACTACCATTACCTTTCCTCCACCATAACCACTCCATCTCCTCTACCACTACCACAACTTCACCACTAATCTCCTTCGCCATCGCCATCACCACCACCACCATCTCTTGTCCACCACTACTGCCACTCACTTTCCTTTATCACAAAAAATTAGTTCTTGATTTTTAGTAACAAAAAAAAAAAGGGCCGCAGAAACATATTTTTCATTGACCAAAAAAATTAACTTTATTTTAACGGAAAATATTTTTCATTAAAATATTACTCCTACTTCTACCAAAAAAAATAAAAATAAAAATTTCATTAAAATAAAAATGAAACAAATAAATTTTCAACCTTAGTAACTAAAAAAAATGAAAAATAAAAAAAATGTCATTAACTACAACAAAAAAAAAAAATTTATTTTAACAAAAAATAAAATTTTTTAGCAACGACAACTCCCGTCGCAAAAAAAAAAAAAAAAAAAGAAAAAAAGAAGGTTAAATGGCACAGTTTTGTTTTGTTGTTTAAATATTCATTTATGACAAAAAAAAATAAAAATAATATGAGGCTTAGCCCTTTTTTTTCCATTCCCGCTCGGTTTTCCCTCCTCAACCAAAAATCCCTAATCTCCTCTTATCTCTCTCTCTCTCTCTCTCTCTCTTCGGCGAGCGGCGGCAGACTAGGGTGTGATCTTGGTCATCATCTTCTTCACTTATCATCTAAGAAACCCTAGAATTTTTTAGTGTATTTTGGGGAAAAGAAAAGATAGGTGAATGGGGGAAGGAGAGAGGAGTCGCCAGCGCCGATCCGCTTTAACCTCACTACCGAACCTTCCAAGGAGTTGCCAACTATCCTCCTCCTCCTCCTCCTCCTCATCCTCATCCTCAGCCCGCCATCGGCTTCCCTCAACCTGTTCCTCCCCCAGGCGCCTCCGAACCCTATGCTAATGCCTATCAAGCCGTTCCAGGTTCTATCTCTCTCTCTCTCTCTCTCTCTCTCTCTCTCTCTCTCGCTCTGTGTGTGTATGTGTGTTCGATTTGAGCCAGTCAACCATGTATTGATTCCTCTAGATCTAAAAAATTAAAAAGAAATCATATTTTTTTGACAACATTATGAACTTTTGGGATTTGATATATATGTTGGGTTTAATGTTCTGCTGTTTCCTTTTAGTTGGTGGTATTGTGATTTTATTTTATTTATTGTTATTATTATTTTTTGATCAACAACAAATGGTATTGTGATTTTATGCTGTGTACATGTTAACATTGCTGTTGATTTAGACCAGTGCGTTGACATTGTACATGCAAAGAGTGTGCACACACACACATGAAACGGAGGAAAAGAAAGTGACCCATTGTCTATCCTTGATCTACTATTTTGACACTGAAATATTATTATTCATTCTTTGTTAATGAAAAATAACATATTAGCATGAATAATGATCATAAACGTAACAGTGTGATATAATTCTATATCTGATTGTCCATAAATCTGATCATTTTCTTTTTAGATTTAATACCGATATATAATGGAATAATAGGTTCTTATTTGGTGCCTTGATGGCTTTCTCGCTCCTTGATACACTGTTTTGTATGATTAGTAATTTGCCTTTTTTTTTTTTTTGTTCCTCTCAAATTTTCCTCTTCAATGGGTATGCTCTTATTACACTATCAGCTAGCAGAAGATTCAATGGTGAAGTTGGATAGAATCTGTCGGGAAGCAAATGTCATGTTGGTATTTGCACACTCCTATGGCCTCACAGGGTTTGTTCGGATCAGTGTGAAGGTAATGGACCTTAAAATGTATATACATATATATTTGGGTTAAATTTATTAACTTGGCATTTTGGAAAAGTTAGTATTGGGATGGTAGTGGCTACAAAATAAAAATCGGAGGCTTAACAAGGATGAACACATTATCAAATTTTAATATTTTTTGTTTTAATTTTTTAACAATCACAGATTTCTTGTGGGCTTGTTATTTTAAAAATTTCTTTGCTCTTCCCACAAGGGTGAGGTGGGATGTCAATCAGGATTGTTTGAATTGAAAGAAACACCAAAGTAGAAATTAAGTTTAGAAGAAAATACCAGACTTGTACTTTCTGAAGAGTTGGGAGTGGTAATTCTACTTTGCATCTTTGAGGCATGAACATACTGTGATTGAGTCAAAGCCTGATCATTTTCTGGATGATCTCCAACTAAATTGCCCATGGCCTGAGTTGAGGAGGTATGGGTCTCAAAACTTATTTTTTCATTTGTTTGGTTGACTGTTGTGAGTTGTTTGTTTTGGCACATTAATTGTTAGTCTGTATATGCTAATGGCATTTAATTTTTTGTTAGAAAAAATTTGGGCCATGAATTTTTGGGAAACAAATTTATCACGAGCTATGATTGTTTGAGAGTGGTTAGTTATATGATTTAGTTTAATTATTAACTCATGCTGCATTTTGTCACTTACTGAATATGATTGAGGGCCGTTATCCTGGCAAACCTTTGCCATATTGTTGAAATCTAAATTTTGGGCAGTCATATCAAGTGATCCATTATTGCTTGGTGCTTGAAAATCACCATCATCTCCAATCATATTACGGTTAATTGAATTCTTTGGCCCTCTAGTTAAAATGTCGATGTCCAATGACAAATTGGCTGAATTGTTCTTGGTCCTCATCAATCTCTCAAGTCCCCTCACCTATTATCCCCTGTTCTCACCACAAGTACAAAAGCATATTATTTAATAAAGAACAAAATGTTAAACATGTCAGGGATCATCATAATACATATTAAATTATTGTAACAATGATTAGTATTAGTCTTGATACACACCATATTTACAAAAATATATGCTAATGATCACCCAGTGATTAGTATTAGTCTTGATATACGTGCTAAATGTGTATAAAAATATGTAAAAAACTATTTTGGTATTACTTCCCCCTTAAAGACAGACTATAGGTTATCATTAGCATGATCCTTTGAAAAATAATAGTGAACCTTATTATTTTCTAGATATGATAGGTCCTATATTTATACATATGGTTCGTTTGAATCCACGTAGGAGGTAAAAAGAAAGAGGGGTAACTATGGAGATGAAAGTGAATTTTGAGCCAAACTATAAGGGTGAAAAGTGTAACTGACCCATATTTATTTTTCTGTTCTATATTTTGGGGGGCATTGTTTCATTGTGGTCATAATGAATGACTAGTGGCGGGTGCACATGCTATGTCTGCACGGTACACGTGTGCAACTTTATATCTAGTTTCTTGGATGGTTGGCTGAATGAGAAATATGGATTGGTTTGAAAATTGATTAGCAGTTATTTACTGAATGTGGTATGTTTCTTAATTCAGTTAGCGATTCTATGGGTATTTTTTGGAAAATCAAAATTGTGTGACAAAGCTTCAAAAAGTGAGTTGTGTGTTTTATATGACATAATAGATAGAATAGAGTAGAAAATGCACAGAAACAGGTAAATTTTGCACCTTATGTTTTTACAAAACTCTAATGAGAAATTAATCTTCTAATGTACTTCATGTTCTTTCAGAGATGGCTATGAAAAAAAATGGAGGTGGACAGGACTCCACCTTGACTAGCATTTGAAATATGTTTGGTAAAAGTAATTCAAGGATAATTTTGTTTGGAGTTGGAAATGCTATTTTTTTAAAACCTTATTTTCCATGTTTTATCATGATTATCATCACAAATGTGAAAAGATGTTTTAGAGATTGGTCAAAACTAATGAAGTTCTTTTTTGTCCATAATATGCATGCAGATATCTGGTACCTGCTGATTTGACTGTTGGGTAGTTTGTCTATGTGGTCCGGAAGAGGATAAAGCTTGGTGCTGAGAAAGCCATCTTTATCTTTGTCAAGAACATTTTGCCACCCACTGGTGAGAAAGTTTTTACTGTTAATGTATATCTTCACTATCATAGGCTTCTGAATTTTGTGATTGTATGCCAACATTCATTTACTTACTAGCGTTGAACCAGTTGCATACAAGATAAAGTAGATACTATAATAAAAGTTTTATGAAAATAAATTGCCTATTGTATATGTTTTAAACTTCATATTAATTAATAACTTGATTTAAAATAAATTATTACGTCCTGCATAACATTAAATGTAAAAGGTGATTACAATAAAAATCCATTACCCAAAATGTGGAAAAAAAAAATGAAGTTTTAATATGAACATTTTAAAGTACTTGTGTTCGTTTGTGTATTTGCCATGCCACAGCTGCCATGATGTCTGCAATTTATGAGGAAAACAAGGATGAAGATGGCTTCCTGTACATGACCTACAGCAGTGAGAACACATTTGGATCAATCTGAATGCATTCGAGCTAATTTATGTAAATAAGAATTTCATGGAAACTTGCTGAAATATGTAAATTCTCAAGTCCTTTTTATCTTGCTCTTTTGAGACAGTTTAAACCCTTTTCTAATTTGGATCTTTGAGCACTTGTGATTTAAAGTAGTAAATATTTTTATCGTTTGCTTTAGATGGACCTGAATGAACTGGAATGCTTGTGAGGTTTGTGTTAGCACTATACATTTTGTCTTGTATTCCTGGCATATGCTTCACAGAGACCTATGTTACTAGAAATTTTTCACTCTTTTCAAAATCAACACATTTGTTGTGTCTGACTAATGATTTTTCATAATTTTCTTAAGTTATTATCATTTTTTAGGTCATGTTAGAAGATAGCCCTGTAATCGAATAGGCATACACCACTAACATTGTCGTTTGGAAAGACTAATTATGCATTCCTGAAACTTAGGCATACACCATCCAAAATCACCAGACGGCGTCGGTTTAGCATGAAACTTGACACACACGACTGCCTAGGCACGAGAGACTTGTGGAAGAAGACGGGACTCCAATCGGGTTCCCGGTTTGGGAGTTAGAGCCGAATTTCACTCTAGGCAAACTAGTTCCTTAAGAAACTTGAATTGGAGGTGTTGACGCCCCAAAATCACCAAACGGTGTCGGTTTAGCACGAAACTTGGCACACACGACTGCCTAGGCACGAGAGACGTGTGGGAGAAGACGGGACTCCAATCGGGTTCCCGGTTTGGGAGTTAGAGCTGAATTTCAGTCTAGGCAAACTAGTTCTTTAAGAAACTTGAATCGGAGGTGTTGATGCCCCAAAATCACCAAATGGCGTCGATTTAGCACCAAACTTGACACACATGACCGTCTAGGCACGAGAGACTTGTGGGAGAAGACAGGACTCCCATCGGGTTCCCGGTTTGGGAGTTAGAGCCAGATTTCACTATAAGCAAACTAGTTCCTTAAGAAACTTGAATTGGAGGTGTTGACACCCCAAAATCACCAAACGGCGTCGGTTTAGCACGGAACTTGGCACACACAATCGGCTAGGCACGAAAGACTTGTGGGAGAAAATGGGACTCTAATCGGGTTCCCGGTTTGGGAGTTAGAGCTGAATTTCACTCTAGGAAAACTAGTTCCTTAAGAAACTTGAATTTGAGGTGTTGACGCCCCAAAATCACCAAACGGCGTCAGTTTAGCATGAAACTTGGCACACACGACCACCTAGGCATGAGAGACTTGTGGGAGAATATAGGACTCCAATCGGGTTCCCAGTTTAGGAGTTAGAGCCGGATTTCGGTCTAGGCAAATTAGTTTATTAAGAAATTTGAATTGGAGGTGTTGATGCCGCAAAATCTCCAAATGGCGTCGGTTTAGCACGAAACTTGGCACAAACGACCGCCTAGGCACGAGAGACTTGTGAGAGGAAACGGGACTCCAATCAGGTTCCCGGTTTGGGAGTTAGAGCCGAATTTCACTCTAGGCAAACTAGTTCCTTAAGAAACTTGAATTCGAGGTGTTGACGCCCCAAAATCACCAAACGGTGTCGATTTAGCACGAAACTTAGCACACACGACCGCCTAGGCACGAGTGACTTGTGGGAGAAGACAGGACTCCAATTGGGTTCTCGGTTTGGGAGTTAGAGCCGGATTTCACTATAGGCAAACTTGTTCCTTAAGAAACTTGAATTGGAGGTGTTGACTCCCCAAAATCACCAAACGGCATCGGTTTAGCACAAAACTTGGCACACACGACCGCCTAGGCACGAGAGACTTGTGGGAGAAGACGGGACTCCAATCGGGTTCCCGATTTGGGAGTTAGAGTCGGATTTCGGTCTAGGCAAATTAGTTTATTAAGAAATTTGAATTGGAGGTGTTGATGTCCCAAAATCTCCAAACGGTTTAGTACGAAACTTAGCACACACGACCGCTTAGGCACGAGAGACTTGTGGGAGAAGATGGGACTCCAATCAGGTTCCCGGTTTGGGAGTTAGAGCCGAATTTCCGTCTAACCAAAATTATTTACTTAATTATCTTTGTGATTATATAGTAGTTATTTTTTTATGTTTTTTTGTAATTAAAATATTAACACATAATTATATTGTCATTAATTATTTTTATTTTTTGTTTTTAGATATTTCCCGAGTAGCAGTTTGCTTCTTGTGAAATACAGGCGTGTGAAGATTGTGATTTACTTTTATTTTTGTTATCCACGGAAGAATCATGAGGGAAACTTTTGTTTTTGATTTACGTTATTTTGAATTGTGAACAACATTATGTATTTAAACATTGTGTGTGTATTATGCAATATTATGTAGTGGGATAATTTTGCTAATGTGTTGTAATGAATGAATGCAAGAATATTTGTATTATGGATGAATTATTATTTTTATACTGGAATTTTTATATTATTATGTAATTATTGGTTTTTTTCAATTATTTTTCATTTAATACAGGTAATTTTCATATTTTAAATAATTTTATTGTAATTTTTTTTTGAGACGGCACCGCATTGCCGTCGCAAATGATGGTGACAGATTGAGACAAAAGTCTTTTGCGACGGTACTCTTTGCCGTCACAAATAATCTTTTAGTGACGGCGCATCGTGCTATCTCAAATATTTTTTTAGTGACGGCATTTTTTGCCGTCACAAATAACACATTTAGCGATGGCAACATAGTGCCGTCTCAAAAAATCTAAGATTTTTTCGTATTAATGGCGACGGAAAAATGCCGTTGCAAAAAGGCAACTTTGCCGTCGCAAAAAAAAGGCGACGACAACGTGTTTGCGACCCCTTTTGTTGCGACCCCCCACTTGCCGTCGCAAAAAACCTTTTGAGACAGCATTTTGAGTACTTGTGACGGCATTTTGCCGTCGCAAAAAGTCAAATTTTTTGTAGTAACCAAACCGCAACCACCCCTACTTTCAACATCGAAACCTTAATTTAATTTTTTTTTTAGTTGGACACCTAATACCCTCAATGAGTCCCACTTTTATCAATTTTTCTCATCTCGTCTGTGCCGAAATCCCTTTTCCTCTCTGTGATGAATGAAAAACACCCACCAAAAAACAAACTGATCTGAGAACGAATTAATAAAGGAACAAAGTTGATTCTTCTGCTTTTTCTTCTAGAATAATGTAGGAAAAATATTAGAAAAGTGATCCAAGACTACAGAGAGGAAAAGCACTGCGATTTCCGTTGAAATGTCGGTGAGAGAATGAAAAGGGGTTTAAGAGTATTCTCAGTAGATTTCTTAAAATTTTATGTTACAATATTATTAAAAAATTCATTTCTTATTTTAAGAATTATTTTTTTTATCTACTTTCTCCAACAAACTTCTTATTCCTTTTCTATTCTAATAAAATATTATTTTTAATTATTTTCTATTTTTGGGGATGAAAATGCTCAAGAACCAATGACGACTGAATAAAAAATAATTTTATATTTTTTGGGGGTGAACAGTTGCTCCTTACATTTGGGGAGCAACTGTAGCATTTCTTATAATAGGGACTTGCTTTAGGGGAGCTGATGAGGTTGATTTTATGAAGAAAGACTCCCCAAAATAAGTAAGGGATAGATTTAGGAGATCCAATAGGGATGCTCTAAGTAAGTTTCGGGTTTGCAAGATTCAAACAACTAGCTATTATGAGAAAATCAAATTGTTTAGTTCATAAACTATGAAATTCCTAACGTTGTGTTTGATTGAAAGATTTGAGAAAGAATTTAGAAAGAAAAAGAGAAAAGATAGGTGAAATGTGAATAAAATATATCTCTATTTCTTCTACCTTCAAACACCTTTTTTCTTTTCTTTTCCAAATTCTTTTTCAAATCTCCCAATCAAACACAGTGAAAAGATAACAGCTTGAATCAAATGAAAAAGAAGAAGAAAAGGAAAAAGTTGAAATAGTAATGTTGTGTTTGGTTGGGAGATTTGGGGAGGGATTTAGAAAGGGAAAGGGAAAAAGTGTGTGAAATTAGGTGAAATGTGAAAGTTACAAAGATTCTTAGGATCCCTTAATTACATTGCTGAATTTTACAAAGATCTTCGGAAAATTTGTCAACCCTTTTTTGATAGATTGAAAGATAATCCTTCTTTTTGGTCTTCTACTCATACTGCTATTGTTCAGTAAGTCAAAAAATATGTTGAGACTTTGCCTTGTCTTGGTATTCCTACTGAAAATTCATTCAAAATTATTCAAATTGATGCCTCTGACGTTGGTTACGGTGGCATCCTCCTTCAGATAGTCACTCTTAAGTCATCTGAGCAAATTGTTCGTTTTCACTCTGGTGTTTGCAATTTTTTCTTCTAATGATTTGTCTTTAGTTTTTAATTCTTGAATAGTTGATTTATTTTGATTAATCTCATTTTGTAAATCTTGTAAAGTTACTTCTTTGTGTTTTTCTTTTTTAAATCGTTCTAAAGTTTGATTTAAACTAATAATTGGTTTTTCATGATGAGGCCTTTTATCTTTATTTATGAGTAAAGATTTTAACTTATTAGTATATTGTCTTTTTAATTCAGGATTTTCTAGTTTACTAATTAATTCTATTAAGGAATCTTCTTCTTGTTGAGATTTACTACGAACATTGATTTGTTGACAGCAAGTATCATTACAGCCTAATTCAATCTCATTGTTAGTATTATCACTAGGAGAATAATAGGTAGAAGTATCACTAGGGGAAGCAGTGTCGCTAGATGAGTGAGTAGAATGATTAGGAGAGTGGTTGGGAGAATTGGTTAGGTTAAATATATCAAATATTTGTTGTTGATTTTCTGCAGTAATTTGTAGTTGATTAAGTTTATTCTTAAGTTGTTCTTTGACTTTACATTTATTAGAATAATGACCATTTTTTCCACAATTATAACAAGTAAATCTTTGGTAGATTGTGATTGTGGAAATTTATTATGTTTCTTATGATATTTCTTTTTGGGTTTAGTATAATACTTATCAGTTGATTTAGAGGGTGAATATTTCTTTTTATATTTAGTCGAGTATTTGTAAGAGGATTTCTTCTTACTGTTTTTACTTCGTGAAGGTGCTACAGGAGGTAGACCATATTGTTCACAGAAATTACCTAATTCATATTTAGCTTTATGTTTATCTTTAGCAGCTATTTGACAAAGTTTCAAGTCTATGAACATTTTTAATCCTTCTTTTTGAATAGTACTTGTAGCGATCCCAGTTTTGCCACTTCGCTGAGTGTGTCGGGGATCGAGTTCCCGGTCAGCTCGGGGGGGTCCAGGGGGCAGCGCCCCTTGGCAGGTCCTAGGGCAGCGCCCTGGCGGGGTTGAGGAGCAGCACCCTTAAAGCAAAAATGCAAAATGCATTAGAAGTTGCTTGTCCGCTCAAGCGGCCGTTTATGTGCTCGAGCGGAGAATGTTTGGTTCTAGAAGTCTGACCTGTCTACAAAAGTACTGGGAAAGTGTATTTGACCCTCGAGCGGGGCTTTCCACGCTCGAGCGGACCATGTTATATCAGTTCGTGAATCTGATATTTCAGATCACTTTTGTATATCTCTCTCTCTCTAAAAACCCTTTCCTCTCCATTCTCTCTACATTTCCCTACGCCAAATTGGATCAAAACCTTGATTTCTCAAGATCCATTAGAGTTTTGCCATAGGTTCTTCATTAAAGTTGGTTAACTTCTCGAGGGTTTCATTGTGTGTGATGAAGATCGAGTTTCGACACCGTTGATTTTGGGGGTTTCATCTCATTTCTTCTTCAAAACTTGAGGTAGGGATTTTCTCAGAGTTATATATATATATTTTTGCAAGATCTATATGATTTTCGAAATCATCTTTCGATAGCTTTGAAAATTGATTGTTGATTCAAGAAGTTGAGCAATTTTGAAATTGGGTTTGTCTCTTGTTCTTTTAAAATGATATTGTGGGTTTTGATCTTCATTGATTGAAGAAAAGATGAATTTGGAAAGTTTTCTCTCAAAAGATTTGAGTTGTATAGTTTTGGTGAGAAAACCTAGAATTTGGGGATTTTTTTTTAAAGGAGACTGAAAATCCATGAATGATATTGTTATATTTATTTTGTGTGTCAAAATAAATGGATGTTTGGAAAATTTCTTATTTTTATTTATATAAATGATGAATTTCAGGGAATATGAGAATTGTTGTTCATTTTGGAAATTATTGTTCAAAACGTTGAAATAGTCTTGAAATAACTAATTGTTGAGGATACTTGAGAAGAGGGAATTGTGTTATTCCTTGGATGATGAATTGGAATAAAAGTATTTATATTGATCTTGTGAAATTGGCATATCAATTCATTTGATTACATTAAAGTTTGAAAGTTAATTTGAAAACTTGCATTGAGAAAAGAATGTTGAGAAACAAGTTTTCATGGAATGGTTTTGGGGTAAATATGTTGGTAAGTCTTGATAGGTGGTGTAGATGATTTGAATAAGTTGGCCTGAGAGTTCGGGGTAAAAGACTGAAAACCCGCGCGGATAGGTGTCGAGCCTTCCGGTTAATACCGATAAAAATGACAATTTGGTAGTACTTGTATAGTCTACTTGCAAACACCGACCTAGGGATTACCAAATTCATATTTACTGCTCTTGAAATAAATTGTTAAGTTTTGAACAATTGAAATTGCATGATATCATTGAGCATGATGGTTTTCAAAAGATGAAAATATGATTTATCTTAAAAAATGTGATTTATTATTGAGCAGAAGTGTTCTGGAAATTGTTAGCTTCTCTGGTGTTCAAAAATCTGCAAACAGAGGCATTTAATGGCAAAGCGGTGGCCTTTTGAGTGGAGAAACCGAGCATGCATCCCTCGCCCCTTGAGGCCATTTAATTGCTTTGTTTAGTTAATTAGTGGTAGCTAATTAATTAGTTTAATTGCTTTGTACTTAATTAGCTTAGTATTTAGCTAATTAATTCAGTTTGTAATAATTAAATAGCTTAGAATAGTTAGTTAATTCATTTCAATTGTTGTAATAACTAGTTAGCCAGTTAGCTCATTCATTCGGACCCTCCTTCGTGAGGGCGTAATGTTGTAATAAGTGTGCGTGCGTGTGTGTATGTCTTCCAACCCCACGTCTTTCTCCCTTTTATTTAATCACTTTTGATGGTTAGATTAGGGACATTTTCAATTAGCATACCTTATGCTTGCATGTTTGCATCCATTCATTTGTCTTGCATGCACTGAGGCTCGGCGCATCATTCAAACTGCATTGCAATTTTAATATCTTCTTTGAATACGTATTTAATCGCATGTTATCAAATTGAATTATATGGCATATTAGTAGCCGAGCCTATTAATTTTATTATTGCATGTGTTGCATTAGGCATCT